TCCTTTATGGGGATAAAGTTTCCAGAGGTGAAATTTTAGGTAGCACACAATTTCTTACACGCATGGTTGCTTTTCAGCACTCATGAAAGAAACTTAAGAAATATTTGAAAAAAAAGTTCATATAGTACATTAATTTTGAAAGAAATACCATATAATGTATGTACTCTGGTTAATAATATCAAAAAATGTATTAGAACCACCGTTTAATGTTATATTTGATTCAAATTAATATTGCTGCCCCGAACGCTCTGCGCCTTGCCACTGAATAATAGGTTTACTTAAAATTACATCCGTGGTCCTTGTTCTTTCTGTATCGCATCGTGGTGAATTCACATTTCTCAGAAATTTGACAACAAAACAAAACAAAGCGAGTATTTTATTTGCTAATTTTTGCGATTTCTATTGTTTAATGTAAATTTGTCTTTTTAGGATATGTCGAGCCAACGAAGAAGGCGCAGTTGGAAAATTGAGTAATTAGTAATGAAGTAGCAGGCATATTTGGAAAATTATGCCGATAAGCAGGATGGAATTTGGGAAAGTAAGTGCATGGTTGCAGCATATCTATGTATAAAAAGTATTTAATTAAATTGTTTATAGAAATGTTATAAATCGAGTGGCTCATTTACGATGTGCTCCAAACATTTGGCGAACTTTTTTTCGCCTTTTCAGCGTGCTAAGTAACAAGTTAAGATGACTGCCATCACGGCCGGTAAGAAACCGCAAGCAAAGGGCAGACAACCTTCCAGGAACCTGCCTCCTGTCCCCGAGCCGAAGCTGCAGTTCTGCAAGAGCAGGTCAGCAAATTGCTACCCTGATCAAACGTAAACTAAAGCGCACTGCTGTGATTGCACTCCGTAAATGTGAAAACTTGGTGCATGCTGAGAAATATCAAACAAGAAAACTCTGTGATGGACGCCGTGAGATGGAGTAGCGCTGTGTGGCAAAGAAATACGGCCAATTCGACGGGCCTGAAAAATCCAAATTGGCTTTTGTGATCCGCATCCGCGGTATCAACAAAGTTGCACAAAAAGTGCGTAGTTTTACAGTTCTGTCTTCGCCACATTAAAACGGTGTGTTCATCAAATTGAGCAAGGCAACCATTAATATGCTACGTATGCCGAACCCCCTATATGGGGTTATCGAAATCTTAAATCAGTTTGTGAATTGATGTACAAACGTTGAATGGTCAAGCGTGTCCCAATCTCTGCTTTGTGATCGAACGCAAATTTCGCGAAGCGCACGAAATTCAGTGCGTTGATTCACTTCACTTCAAGAAAGCCCCCAACTTCCTGTTGCTATTCAAGCTCAACACATCAACCCGAGGCTGGCGCAAGAAGGCTAATCACTACGTTGAGGTTGGTGATTTCGGTAGCCGTGAGGATAAGATCAACAAATTGCTGCACAAGATGGCTTAAAGAAATTGTTGTTTTGTATTTAAGTAGACAATATAATTTGGCACATCTTCAAAAGACGCCCAAGCAAAAAAAAAAAAAGAAAATTAAAAAATTCCTGAAGTTGTCTTTTCACGGGTCGATTTCTGTCGACTGGAAAATTTACTTAAGATATCGACTAGCCAAAACGCTTATATTTTACGGTTGAATTGCAATTTACACGGGTAGATTTTGGTTAAACGACAAAAATCGACCGTGTAAAGGCAGCTTAAATAACGTTCAAATTAATCACCCCCTTTGAGATTGAAAATACCAATAACCATTTCATAATTTCGAAAATTATTCCATTTATATTTGTTCTTGCATTTTCCACACCACTTGTGAGGTATGCTTTTACGCGCGTTACCGATTTTTTGTTTAATGTGCTCGGTTGCCCAGGAGGCCTATTTTCACCTTTACAACTTGACTTAAACAGAATTAAAACTAAAACATGCAATATATAAAGAAAATTAAAAGTTGTCTTACATCTAGTAAACTTAAAAAATTGCACATTAAATTCATTTTTCATTATAAAATAAAATTAAATATCACAATTCAGTTTACAAAATGTGGTCTGTTTGCACCCGCAGTAAGTTCCCATGAAGCCTAGCCTAAATTCAGAATTGAAAAAAAAACGAGCAAATGGGGTCGGAAACTACTAGCCCTAAAAGCATAATGTGGAAAATGTTTGAAGAGCTGCGAAATTGTATTGCAATAATAAAAATAACAGTGCATAAATTGGAAAAAATGGTTTTTGTTTTGCTTTATAATTTTTGGGAATATTGGTTCAGATGGAATTTTTTTATTTGTTTGGTTTTTCAGCTCGTTAATGAAGCACCCAGGGTTGCACTTACTGTCTATGAAAATGTTTCGTGAAGCGTTCCAAAATTAGCTCCGAGCAACTAAAAGTTGGTTAAGCTTAAATGAAATAGTTTTTTATTAAATATTTATTCCTGGTATTTAGTAAAAAACATCAATACTAATGTATGAAAAACAAAACATCAATGCTAATGTATGAAATGAAGTAAATAAAAATCTACGAATACATTCCATCAATATTTTGTCATAGAGCCATTATTAAATTTAGACATAACTTTGTCAGGCGTTGGTACCTACGTATATAGAATTAATGCGTTGGAGAGAGATAAATATACAAGTTCAACGCGCTAATTTAGGTATCCTTGTATGTATATACCTGTTACTCGTCTGGCATATACTCCAACAACGAAAATAATGACAATTATAATTTATGTAGATCCCTGGATAAAAGATTGTCACAAGTTACTTTCGGTAACTCACGATTGAAGTTTGCAATGCAATTTCTCAGAAACACGACTAAAGATTTTCTCCAAGTGTCGGAGAATGCTATGTACTAGTTCATGAAATTCTTAAATTATCTTATTTTTTTTAGTTTAGTGTCAACCATTTATGAGTTTAATAAAATTTTGTCGTATACGACATTTGTCAAAAAATTTGCAGTCAGTTTTAGTGATATACGCCAAAATGTGATAACAATTTTTATAAATTAACCATACTTTTTACTAATCAGCCTAATCGTGAGTTTCGCCCGAACAAAATTTCGCCAACAATTTTTTCATCCACCTGTAGTGAACACTCGCAAACGAAAAGTGACCCGGTTATAGAAAATGAAACTCATGATAAAGATGAATATGTCGGAAACTAAAGAAGAACAGATAACTCTATTTGAAAGATCTTGATTAGTTTAGTACGACAGCAATACTAACGCAATTTGTACCAAATAACCGAAAAAATTTTAGTCAATTAGTCGGAAACTAAAGAAGATATCCAAAAACCACAAATTGTCAAAATGACGCTTCCGGCAATTTTCCATCCAGGCGACGATATTTGAATAGGTTTGTAAAATTACCAATAGTCAGTACTAATTTGTACTGGAACCTGCAAACTTTTACTGGAAAAGTGTATGATAACCCAAAAAAATTTGCAAGAGAGCACTGAATCGAGAGCGTAACAACACGAGAGAGCTGCAAATTCTTGCTAGTGAAATTTTTACTAGCAGAAATTAGCTAGCAGAAGAAGAAGAATTAGAATAAATGTCAAAAGAATATATAAAAAGTGGTGTTACTAGCTCAGTTCATTTTGTGTATGTGTTTCGCCGCACGGCTTCTGATATCAAATTGAAAAATTTTGTTTGAATTTCTACTCACACTTACAGGTTTTGACAGTTTATGCCGCCAAAGCAAAAACAAAATACATGTAAATTTTTGTTTTTGTACTCCTGCAATCACCTTATATTGATTCGCCTTGGCACAAACAAAAGTAAAATGAGTGGAAACAAAAATATTAATGATGTACTGGACAGTGTTAGTGCTTGTGTGTAAAGCAAAGAGTTTAAAACTGATTTATAAATAGTAAAATGTTTACAGCAGATTGTCAAAGCAGTGCAACAACTGTTCACTTGCAAGTTATTGCTAGTTTTGTGTTCAATAAGTTCTTCTGCTAGTTTTCTCTTCTTCTCAATTTAACGCTCTATTTTGCTTTTACGCTCTCGCTGCAATGTTACTGTTACTATACAAACCTAATGTTACTCGCATATTTTCGAGCCTGTATGTACATTTTCGGGAAAAAGGTTAAAAAGTGTATCCATCTGCTGAAAAGATAATTTCGCAGATTCACAATTTATTTAAAATAAATCTATTAGCCCAATCTCCAATTCCATGTGAATAAATCTCCCCAGTGCTTAAATAATTTTCACCACATTAAATAGCTGCACAACACCCTAATTGCCGAAAAAGCGTTGCTTGCAACACTAGTCCTTTATGGGGACCAAACTTGGCGAAAAAAAATAGCTAAGTTTGTTTACTGGATATACTGAGCCTACTTCCTCTGGGCGTTTAATAAATTACTTGTCTTCGCAACCCTTAAAGTAATTCACAAAATACTAACAATAAGGCTTTCTGCACATTGGTCGTCCAATCATAGTTGCTTCATCGTACAATCATGATGCAACGATTACATGACGACTACACTTTCGCACACTCGGTCGTGATATTTCAATTCATTTGGCGATCGCCCACTGCCCTCACCAGAACCAGACTTCGCTTCCTAGGATAACCGTATCTAGAAGCACACGACCTAATGGCATTCAGCCAAAGGACCTCGCGAGGTTAATTAGCAATACGTGGATTAAAGATGACCTGTAGTTAAATAGAGGTTTGTTACAATAGATCGTTTTCGGTAACTAGGTGACCTGCTCCCTCCTCTAAATCTAATCTCATCAGCTTTATTTCACTGAAAATTTTATCAAAAAGCTGCAACGAGCTTTAGTGTAGATTTTTGACTATAAATGCGCCCTACTATTTTTAAAGATTTCAGTCAAAATTTGTAGGTGTGTGTGGAAATGCAAACAAAATATTTCAATTTGACATTCTAAGCCGTGACGCGAAACATATATACGAAATCAGTTGATCTAGTAACATCACCTTGTATAAATTCGCCTTGCTACTCTACACATTTTTCAATGCGTCTAAAACTTTGTACTTTGTAGTTCTTAGTTCATTCGCAATTTTCTAGAGGGTTAGACCTATTGTTTTAATAATAATAATAATTTAAACAACTTACTCTTGCAGTTGAGATATATTCCTTTCCTGAGCATATACCTTTGCCGCGGGAAGCAAACCAAAATGCGCAACCAATAGATTCGTCTAAAACCGTATTTAATGGGTATAAAAGATGTTTAATATGATTTCGTAAATTATCATGAAGCTCTTCTCGCCGTACGTTAACTTCCACGTAGTTCCACCTCCTGAAAAAAACATGGTAATGTAAATGGGTGCTGTCTGGTTTGATAATAAATTACCGTCGTGGATATATGTTTTTTAGCTCCATGAGAGAAGATTTAGCAGACAATCTATCAGGCACGTCCCAGCTTATACGTCCTGTACTATCTAACTTTTCAAATGCTACATTAATTAGATCAATGGGATCATTTTCTTTGACATATTTATTTGATAAAGCGGCTAGAATCGAACAGTCGATGCCTCCGGAAAAGAGGATAGCGATTTTGGCATGGTTGCAGTTTCTCCGATCATGTAAGCAATTGATACAATAAGGTGTAGTTTGTCTTACACGATTTTTCACAGATTCTTCGATAAGAAATGAAAAATGTTCCAGTTCAAGTAATAAATCTTGATTCTCCAACAAAGCCTCAAACAAATCACAGGAGGACGCCAGGCTTCTACACAATGCATACAAATCGAAAGATTTCTGTTGAAAAAATACAATTGGATTAATGATTGGAATTTACATATCGACAGCTGAGTGGAAGATCGACCTATCTCGGCAACCAGCTCAAAAACGCTCTATCTCAAACAACTTTTTAAGAACGGCCTATCTCAGAATTCGTTTTAAAAACGCCCTATCTCAGCTGCCAATTCAAAAACGCTCTATATCAGCACATTTTCAATACATTTTGAAGTGAGATAGGGCGTTCTTCAACCAAATTCTGAGATAGGGTGTTTTTCAATAAAATTCTGATATAGGGCGTTCTTGAAAAGTTTTTTGTGATATGTACCTACCTACTTGTATATACATATGTACATATATACAACATGGCAAAAGGTCCTGAATTGTATTATTTCAGAAACGAGTTCTTTTAACATTCGGTACATTTTGTCAGACATACCCCCCCACTTAAATGTTCAAAGCGGTATATTACAGGGACCTAAAAAAACTGTTCTGAACCAAAAAGTGGGCCCAATTTAGAAATCTAAACAAAGAGTTGGTTCACAAGAGTTCATGGATGAGAAATTTTTTGTACGCTGCAATGGGAAAGAAATATTTTTAACGTTTATTAACCATACAAATTTTTAGCGATTTTATTCATTTGATTTGATTTATAACTACTATTTTTCAACATATACATATATTTGAAGTTGCTTCGTAAAAATAAGAAGCCAAATAAAAAACCGGAAAGCAAAATACCGTCCATTTTGGTGTTTTGAAAAAATGCGTACAGCGACCAGTGTTCGCTTATTCGCCTTTTTTCCAAATTCGTTCTCGAGTTATTAGCAATATGGTAACCCAACAAACATTTGGGTTCCCTCGCTAGGGCAGGCACCTGGTCGTTGGTGCGGGGTTGACCAGCCCCATACCTGGTTTGGGGCATCGTTGACGCGCTTGTAGCTTCCGCGCAGTGTTTTCTCCAGGGTGGGGCTGATGGTGATCGGTGACCAAGAACTGCCGCCTCCTAATCCAGGGTGTGATGCGACACCGTGCCTATTAGACGGCTTGCAGCCAGGAGGGAATGGCTCTATTTTAACGGCGCCTCTTAGACAACGGGCCGCATCGAGGAGTAACGGTGGCGCGGTGGACTTGATGAGATCCCCTCCAACTATTTTGACTGCTAAGCTCGCCTCGTCGGGCAGGCAGTCGTACGAACAAGATAATACAAACTCACAAAAATAAAACAACCAAAACAAAATCAACAACAATGGCAACCACTTCAAACGCAGCGGTAAAAGCGACGGAAGCGCCGACTACATAAGGTACGCCAGCAACAGCAATAGGTCCAACAGTAGGTTTCCTTGAGCGCTTAGCCGCAGAGGAGCCAGTTGAGCACGCCAGTGAGGATGACCAGAAATCCAGCACCAGCAGGGGTGTCAGAGATTGGTCACGGCATCGGTCTGGCAGTCCCAAGCAACAAGCGGCCCAATTATGAAAACTCCCGGGGAGTTTGTTCTCCGGGAATTTTGTTTCTCCCGAGAAAGAAATCCTCCAATTCTTAACTCTTACGAGAGTAGCATTTTCCCCGAAATTTGGGAGAAGGAAATCCGAACTTCGAAAGAGCTGTTTGACTGTTTTTTGACAGCTCAACTCCGCCATTTAAAAGAAAAAATCCACAGGGAATTTTTATTCATGATAGGAGGAAAGGGAGAAGATAGAAAACTCCCCGGGAATGTAGGTTGTAGGTATGGTCGAGTACAACATGAAAATAGGTCCCGTATGATTCCTGAACCCTCCATTCTTTTATACCAAAAAACCGTTATTTTCGTACTTGATGCACTTATCTATTAATAGCTTGACTATTTTCCATCCGATTTTAAAAATCGAACAAGTTTTGAAAAGAGGATTTATAGACCTTTAAAACATTTTATAACAATATATTGTTAGACTTGGCTTGTTGGGAGTTTTCATCGGTTAAATTTTAATGGGCCCCTATTTCTCTTCATTTTTTCAACTTTGATCATCACTAATTTCAAAAATGTCTATGAAAGTTGCCGAATATGTGGTATTTATCTAAAAGAACATTTATTTTCGAATAAATTGATACCTCACCTAATGGAATTGCATAAAAATTGTCGAAGTAAAACAATTTAAGCAAAAATACGGCCTTGAATTTATTTGTGTGTGTGTACCGGACGTGCAGATTTTTTGAGCAGTGTGGCGAAGGAGTTCATCAATATTTACTTTATTCATCATATTTAATGTACGCTCATATTCTCTCGTTCCCACGACAGTCGGGTCTACGTAACCGGAACGACCCAGATTTATATCTGGCCAAGGACTGCCACTCCAGTAACACTCCCCAAAAACTCTTTCGGGAATCTGTATGCTGTTACAACAACAAGAACAATCAATATTTACTCAAAACTGATATATACAATGTCTCGTAAACAAAAAAAAAAATATTTTTTTTTTAATTTTGGGAAAATGGGCATGGCACCGCCCACTTAAATCACATATGCGTATATAAAAACTACTTTACCGATATCGACCACAGATTGTGCTTCGCCTCGTTAAGCAGCGTGTTGAATATTTTTGAAATCAGAAAATTCAATTTCATAAGTACAACTTTTTCACAGAGCCTTTGCGAATTATGGTGCAATTACATGGTATGAAGGTCGGCGAAAATCCTCCTAGATACTTATATCCTACAAGCGGGTGCCGACTGGCCAATGGGCATCGCTGTTAACACCGCTATTGCAAAGTAGGCTTGTTTTTATGAAGCAGTCGTGCAAGCTGGCGGGGGCTAGCTACGCCCGAGGTATAAACTCTCCACTACCACCGGCGGGCATAGCGATAACGTAGGCTGTGTCGCCTGCGGCCACACCTCTACAGTGGAGGGAGCAGTCCACAGTGGTTCTAGTACTACTGCCAGACACGGCTTGCCGCGCACTTGTGCCATAGTCCTAGAAGACTCGAACCAGCAAAGCGCGGTAAGCCTAAGCACGAACAGAGAAGAGGCTCTTCTAAGCTCTCCGGGCAAATCTGAGGATGTTCTTCCTGAACGGAGGAAAAGACCGACGACGAGGGCAAGCAAGCAAGGATTGAAGAGTAAGGCGCGATATAGGGCTGCGGTCAAAATATGCGACCGACTTAGTGATAGGTCCAACCGGACTGAGGAGGAGGAGAAAATGTTGGCTTGCGCTAGGGAGGAGGTAGAGAACGGTCCTACTACGCTGCGAAGCCAGTATTTCAGCTAAGGATCCACAGTTCGCAAACCGGATCGTGGAGCAGATTGTGGCGGCGCAGGCGAGCAAAAGGCAGCGTCCTGTGAAAGAAGAGGCAGCAAAGCCTCTAAAGAAACATAAATGTAGGGACGAGGCTACAAGGAGGCCCAAGGTCATACAGCTGCCACCTACATCCAAGGCAGCGGCACACAAAGGGGTATTTGAACGATTGAGGCGGCCATCAACCAATTTGACACAAGTTTGAAGGAAACTTAAAAAAATAGTCACGTTCGATAGAAAACATTTCAAATAACATTTCCCAGTCCCCCTCACTTTTCTAAATTGGACAGCGAACGCTCACCGTTGACCGGAAACAGAATATTCTAACGCTGCTTATAAATAAATTTTCGATATCTAGAAAGATCGTGACGGTTTTAAGTTAATATTTTGATTTCTGCATTGTATTCTTAAAAAGTAGTGATGGATCCGCATACAGGCGGTAATAATGCATTTAAGTGTTAATTTTTATTAACATTTCATTAAGCAAAAGTTTAATTTAAATGTAATGAAAATAGCTGGTTTCAAAGAGTATTTTTTTACATTTTTGTGGAATATTAAGGAATTTGTTGTATCCCCGGGAGAGATCGCGTTATTATTCATTGTTCAATTGAAAGCTTAGAAATTTGGCTAATGTAGTGTGAAAAGATTGCCCGCAGAAAATGTTAGATAAGTGGTATTTCTTTACTTAGAAAATGTATTAAAGAAGAATCTAAAAACGCAACTAGTATATAGTAACAGTACTTTAGATCTATTTTAACACCAAATTTCAACTTTTTAGATGAATTTGAGGCCGCTGAATCAGAATATGAATATATTTAATTTAAAAAGAATAGTTTTCGAGATATAAGCAAACGTGATGTTTTTTGGACCTTTGGGTCCTGTAGCTAGAAATCTGCGGGAATGTAAGGTGAACCTAACTATATTATGTATTTCGGAATAAACATTTGTTTTCCTTTACATTGGTGTTATATTACTGATGATAAAAAAAATAGTTTTGGGTATACAAGCGTTTAAATTAAGATAAATCTTTAAATTTAGATAAATCTACGATATTTCAGTAAATATTGTGTTTAGGCCTCCACGCTAAACCAAGTAACTAAACGGGTGAACCACCTAATGTGAAAATGCACTTTCATGCAACCGAGCATATCCACACACTCACATAAATGTGTATATATATGACCAAATAACTGATACGCCGTTAGTAAATACATATGAATGTCCTTTTCCGTTGAATAAATTTTCGTTAAGTTTCCCCTCCAAACAGTTGGCTGCTTGGCGGGTAAACTTATTTCCATTAAAAAGAGCTCGGCCACTTGTATCGAGCACTTCGACCACACCGAAAGCGATCCAGCCACTACGCCTGCGTATTTCTCAAGGTAATATTGTATACCAAAAATCACAATACATATTTCACCAATTTGACTAATAAAGCTACTGTGTTATATATTGAATTAATCCGTGGTGTTTGTTTTTGATTATTTCATTTCAAAATTAAACCCTTGGTGCATCTACGAGCGACGTTGCCCCAAGCGTTTCCGTATTGTATCCAAAGTGTTGAAAATTGGTATGTGAAGTAAAATTTTGGAACAAATTAGGATTATTATGAAATGTTTGGAAAATGGGTTGGTCCCGCCCACTTATTATGAAATGCTGTATCTCAGTATCCGCTTCACGAATCTGTACCAAACTCGGTATGAGCCTTGCTTAAGCTATATCTAACATAAATCGGCCAAATACCCCTATGTGCGGCGGCGGCCAATGTGATTGCCAAGCGACATCTGGTCGTGGCGCTCATCGGCCGCACTAACCCACTCGGACAGATGACATAAGAGAGGTGGAAGGCAGTGGAAATGAAACTGCTTGAAGCCTTATTCGTTTAAATGGACGCGGAGTCAAACACACCTATGCCGACATTTGACGGAGCAGGGTGGTTCAGCGGTGTAAAAATTATAAGTTGCAAGGATGATCAGTCGTTAGCATGGGTAGAGGGAGCGGTAAAAGGTCTCCAAGGCCTATGGGAGGGATATCTCTCGAAATAGTAAATCGCAGCGAGATTCCGTCGATCCCGAAGGCGAAGGTCCACATGCGCCTACTGCAAAGACAAACCCCCGACGTACCGACGGCTGACTGGAAGGTGTTGGGCATGGTCAAGCCATCGTCAAATGAGGGTGGCATCCTCCAGATAAATAAGACAGCTAAGGACATCCTATATGCTCGATTCGGCAAGATGGCTTGGGGCGTAGGTAGCGTTTACCTTCGCCAAAAAAGACAAACCATGCCGACAACAACCACAACACGCTTTAGGCTGGGGAAGTGGAGAACGATCTCGGCATTGAAGAGATCTTACAGTCCTTTCTCAACCTACGCAATATGGAGACGGGTGAGCTGGACACTACAACCAACCCTGAGGAGCGTAAAGGTAATGGCTAAGGTCCTTCAAATAAATCTACATAAAAGTAAAATCGCCACAGCCGAGCTTCTCTTCCCCAGGAACCTTGGCTCGCTTCGGGCAGCCTAGTTTCTGGCTTCAAGTCGGAAAACTACGCTACATATCGTCACCTGAGTGGAAGATCGACCTATCTCAGCAGCCAGTTCGAAAACGCCCTCTCTCAGCTAAAAATACATTGAAAATGTGCTGTGATAGGGCGTTTTTGAATCGGCAGCTGAGATAGGGCGTTCTTCAACCGAATTCTGAGATAGGGCCTTTTTCAATCAAAATCATACATAGGGCGTTCTTCAATCCAATTCTGAAAAGTTTTCTGAGATAGGGCATTTTTGAACTGGCTGCCGAGGTAGGTCGATGTTCCACTCAGGTGGCGATATGTTCCCAACACGCACAATAAGGTAAGAACTGCAGGCGACTTGACGGTAGAAGTGGCTAGCGATAGGAAGCAACCGCTTATAGTAGGATCCAGCACGAATGAAAGAGGTGAGTTACTTCTAAACATTACATTACAAAAAGAATTAGTAGTAGCTAATAGAGGTGAAGAAGCGACGTATATTGAACCCATATCAAGGAACGTTCTTGACCTAACTCTCTTTACGATTGGTCATACGAAGGTGGATAACTGGAGGGTGCTGCAGGCACAGCACAGTGGTTCGGCTAGCAGATCTAGCTGGACGAAAGTCAAAATTTTTTTGTTTTCAAAAGACTTAATGGTACTTGGAATACATTCCTGACAATACATTCAAATAGAAATTGCATTTATTAAAGCAATAAACAATAAAGGTAAGTCAACACCGTCTATTTGAGAACTCTATTTTAAAAACTGAAATTTAACTTAAAAGATTGCTAATAGCACTCAAAAATATTTGAATTATTGCAAATTGACTTTATAAACCAAAAATTACACTTATTCCGCTATAGATTCAGAGGTCATAACGCAATTTATGTCCACATTGGTATAAGCCAAATTATACTGAAAAATCGTCGTTTTGATTAATTAAAAAAATAAATTAAATAGTAGAAAAAGTAAAGGCCGCCGATGGCCGTTATAAAACCACTTGCATATTATTCTTTACACTTTCGCAAATGCAGGGGGTAAGCTCTAACCAATTGGCTTAGATTGGCGACGGCTGTTTTGCTCTTTCCCAGGAGTTGGTGGTCTACGACTATGCGGTGGGGCTTCTTGGCAGGGAATCGGCTGGGTTGGTTGTTCGCCGGCGGGGATCCTGCTAAATTATTCACTTGTGCACGTCGGAATAAAACACTCCTTATTTTATGTTTGTTTAATTCAGGAATTCGCGTTTATTTGCGTTCAATATACTTATTTCTTAGAATTCAGCTTTAAGGTTTTTTACAAGATTATTTTTCTTTTAAGTGTTCAGTTTTTTTAAAAGGTCTTTTTTCCGCGCAAATTGGTTGCCTTTCTGTTCGGGTATCAAAAAAG